CAGGACCAAATTACACTCCCATAAATATCAGTCCCCTAAATTTTCCAATCAAGATCCATTAATTTTTTCTCAACCATCACATCTTGCAATGTCAAAGAAATGGACAATTGGATCCCTTCCCGAATCTGAGTGAAGTATAAAAAGCCTCAAATACATTATAATACACAATGTGTGCTCTTTTGTTGTAGAATATTTTTTTGATTTTTCATGTTAGTGTGGCTGGTTAGTGTTGAGGCACAGAGCCAAGGCCTCATGGATTCCTGTGGATCACATTAGAGCCCTTCCAAATCTCTACCCTACTCAAACAACTGTGTGCTGTAAATCATGATAGCTGAAAACGAAGTTGCTGAAATGGCACTGTCAGGATTTGAGCCCCCAATCCTGAAGTGTAAATGCCCTTTGGAAAAATGTCTTTAAAAATAGTCCTGTGCTGGTTCACCAGCATGTTACTGACCTGCAGTAAACTCGATTTGAGTGAGTAAAAGTCAGACCTGTGAGCTCTTTGTAGTTAATTTGTGCAAAGTGCACTAGCAACAGTGCAAAAGATCAATGGGAAAAAGATTGTGTGTCATTCAAATTACCTGTTTAACTGTGTGAGATACAGTTAGGCTCCGCTAAAGAGGTTTCCTCTGTGTTTGTTAGTAGGATCACATAAAATGTACTCATCTATTTACGTTCAATTCTGTGGAAGGGCATGACCCAAGGTAGGTCCCATTAGAGTTTGGTGCAGATCCAGATCTAGGGCAGATCTAAGAATTTTCTTCACTTTCTTTAACATAATGATAGGGTGTTTTTCAAAATTTGAGAGTAAAGTGTGGATCTTGATGAAAAAAAATCTAACCATAACCCCCCAAATCTGACATATCTAGGCAATAATTTTGATGAGTATGTGGGATTTAAAGGTACAGTGTGTAGAATTTAGTGACATCTAGCGGTGAAATGGCATGTGGCAGCTGAACACCCCTCACCTCACCCTCCACTTCCAAACCTATAGAAGCCTTCAGTCATCATAAAAACTCAAAAGGTGTTTAGTTTGTCCGATCTGGACAGCTTTTTTCAGCCACTGTATGTCAACAAATAGAGTCAGAAACCTGTAACTAAGGTGTAGCTATATGACTTGTTTTAATTTAAGCGGACTGTCGGGGGAGGTATGTACTTCATTTAGTGCCATTCTCGTTGGATTTACATTGGCTGTGGTGGGTACACAGGTAAACTGTCACATCAGTTCTGGAGCAGACCAGCAGTAAACAAAATTTTGGTTAGATGTCATGTGTTTCTAAAAGTCTATCCTTGCTCTACTGTGTGTTTACTGGGAAGTAAGGCAGATTAAATAAACTCTAACATGTAATGGCTGATTGGTCTCGCATGCCGCTCTGAAGAAGACAATCCTTAACCACTCAGAATTGAGGAAACCCAGCTGTTTCAGTTTGGAAAACTGGCCGAGGGAATATTTGGACAAGTGGCCTTGACTCATCAAATATTGGACGAAGGATTTGAGGGTCCTTGGACGTCAATTAGGTCATTCCTCAAAACATTTCTTGGCGGCACATGTTTCAGTCAAGGTTTTGTCTGTACGGTTTTGATCATTTCTTCATTTGTTTTGTCTCTTAAGTAAAGATCAACTAGGGATAATGTTGCATCATGTTCATTACATCCAGGTTTCTCTCTTAAATATGTTAAAGTGATGTGTGTACTGAATGATAATGGAAATAGTATTAATGTTAGTCAGTAATACAAGTAAAACTGGTGGTTGTGTCTAAGATTGCTCTCTATTAATCACAATAAAAACTGGAATTGAGCCTAAGCGAATATTTGTGCCAGTTGTAAGGAAATTCACTGTGGACATTCCTGATCATTTGCATTCACAAAACACAGGTTTTTTATCTGGTTTTATTATTTTCTTTACTTTCTTTGTTTATTTTAGGTACCTTTATAAATCATTGTTATTATTTGTATAGATATTATTGTAAGGTCACTTTGAATTGTGATATTTTACCAGCACTAGCACTGTCAAAGGTCACACCTATGTTTACTCATATTACATTACTTATTTCTCACTATCCAGTTGATAATGTAATGTAATTAACACTTGTTTTACCTATAGGTCAAGAATCTTTATTCACAGACAAAGTTGTAGACATAAATGAAATTGTGTACTCAGACATTATACCTGTACTTGGCACATGCCAGAGGTATTTCAGTGATAAATGGATCTTTGAGTCCAAGTGGAACGCTTCTGCCAAATTTGAATCAACTCCCTCACTGAGTTCCTCGGACCCGAAAACATAAAGCCTCCAGCTACGGCTGTCAGTGGTATGGATGCACAGACGTTATACAGTAAAAATTATAATTGATATTGTAGGTTGAGGCAAAGCTTGAGATACCTGTTGAGAAGTTACCTAAGTTTTTAAAAATCAGCCATGTTGATTTGAACATTTACTTAAACTCTGCCCCATGTTTGGTGCTGCTGAAATGCGGCAGCAGATCCTGAAGGAATGGTCAAACTTTGAAACTATAATATAAAACTCGATGCCTTGAAGCACGGCGGTAAAAATGCATTGGTCCCATTCTCTTCCCCCTCAGTTGAGCAAGTTTACAGCCCTACACATATAACTCATTTTGATTAGCTGTCCACCTACAAACACTATCTAGCCGGAGGCCACGTTAACTGGCATCCATATATACACAACAGGTGTTGAAGAGGCTGTAAATGTAAGCAGTAAAATGAATGATGGCGTTCCCTCTTGTTTTCAAATGGTCTTTAATTGCCGCAACTCAAGCTTCGCTGCTCCTTGATTTACTTCCACCTATGACTTCCCGGCTCTGAGGTCACCAGCCTCAGCCATGGCCACTGCTGAGCAACCAATTTACAGCAGTAATTGATTAAAACGTGTCCTGCATATCCACTAATTTGTGTTTATATGATAGCACTGACCTCTACAACAAATGACCCAAATAATCTCAATCACCCGACGGAATGATTAATTGCACCGCTGCTAGAAATTGTTTGTTTAATTAAATTTTTTAATCAGTCATTCGAGGCTAAGTCTGGCCGTGCGCTGTGCCGTTGATTGTTTTAGTGTATCACTGTGCTAACTCTAATCAATGCAATGTTCGAGGATCTTTTCAAAGTTGGATGTGCATCTGTTGCAGAATAGCCTGAATAGAGAAAACAATGTAAATTAAGTATTTTCTTAAAACCTATAATATGCATTTCATTCTGTCTAAATATTGGAGTTTTTTCTGTTGTGTACAAACTGGAAAAATGTAATTCTTCATTCATTTTTTTTAGAAGTTGAAGCTGGAGTTTGAGACTAATTCCCTTTGAATATATTCATATTACATGTTTTCCCCTTTGAATATTTTGCTGTTTCTATGAATTGCTTTGGTTCAAATACTTTATTTTTCCTGGTGCTGTCTGATAGAGTGACAGACGACATATTTAATTAAAACAATGAAACACATCTGGACGACAGCTGGATCTTATTTTGAATACCAAACATTCTGCGTTGTACCTGAGGATATTTACAACCTTCCTCCCTTTCTCATCCCTCTGTCCACCCCCCCCATTCCTCATGCTCGCCTTGTTTCTATTCTCTCTTTGTAGGTGTCCTTGAAAAGACAGTGGAAGGGGAAGCCACCGCTCTCGTCAAGGCTAAGACTCTTTACAAGTCCTGCACTAATGAGAGTGAGTCAGCAGTTACTGATACCTTCTGGTTGTCTGAACGGAAGATTTTTCTTTTTATCATAAAACTTTAGACATTTTATTGTCAAACTAAATGTCTTATAAACCATTAGGGTTAAAAGTTTCAAGAGCTGAATGAATAAAATGAATATCGTAATAGCTTAATAAATTAGATTTACAGGATTATGGGATGAAATTAATCCTTCAAAGGTATTTACGCTTAGCAATTCCATGGGTAATATGCTCAAATTTGTATAGATGCATCACACTGAATGAGAACTATATTACAACATTTATTATATTGATACTTTTCTGCATTTATACTGGTATAATACAAATTTATCCATTATTAAAAACAGAAATGTACTTGTTTCTTCCAGGTCTGATTGAGCTCAGAGGAGGCACTCCATTGCTTGACATGCTGTCTGATGTGTTTGAGTGGCCGATTGCTGTGGACAACTGGGAAACCAACCACGGTAGAGAACTGCTTCCCACTGTCACACACAGCAGATATCATGCACAGGCGTTCCTTGCTTTCTTATTCCTACCTTTCCCCCTGTTCCTCAGGTAAAACTTGGAGGTTGGAAGACGTCATTGCCAAGCTGAACGAGAAATACGGAACTCAACTCTTGGTTAACTTTTTCGTCGGCACTGATGACAGGGACTCCAATTCCCACATCATTCATGTAGGTGTGCGAATGTAGCTAGAAACCCCTCATCTCTCTCTTTCTGTGTATTTAACTCTTGCATCGTATCCAGCTACTTCGGCTCATGCAAATAAATGCATCATCCTCTGCTTTCCTAGTTCGACCAGCAGACAAGTCTCGGCCTCTTGTCCAGAGATTACTACACATGCACGGGACCCTATGCAGAGGCAAGTTAACATATACACACGTGCCCACGCTTCTAATTTATAATGATGAAAATAGATCCATGTGCTCATTTGGACCACTGCCACTGAGTCTGGGTTTCATGTCCCCTTGAGTTTGTTTGGGGGAAACCAGATGCCTGAGAAATGATGAGGACATTTGTTTAAACATCAGTGCTCTAATAAATTTTCTGTTTATTCATGTGCCTACTTGCATTTGTGAGCATGCTGGCAAATGAAACAAGGGCGTAAGTGATGATCAAAAATCAGCGAGACAAAACCGAAGAAATTTAATTGTGTCTGAATCCAGACCAGATGTGTGTGATTGGAGCAGACATCCTCTGCTCTGATTTTATTTGAAAGTTCACCACGGACTCTTGATTGATATGCAGAAAGCAGCACTTGACTGCACTCGGCTCGCGGCGGGCTGAGTGTATGTGTGCGTATCTGTGCACAAGTGCAAGCTGGCACCTCCGATTTTTTGGTCAGTGGCTATATTCAAACCAAATTCAAATTCCTTCCTGTTGAAATAAAGGCATGATTCGAAGGTAATGAATGAGTGTGTGTTTGGCAGGCATGTCGGGCCTATGAGCAGTTCATGATTGACCTGGCGAAGCTGATCCGCACCGACCGGAATCTTGCCATCAACGAAACCAGCATCAGAGAGGATGTGACGCGGGTTATGGACCTGGAGAGAGACATTGCAAACGTGAGTGTGCAGTTTTGTGTTCAAACTTTGCTTTCCCATGTCTGACAAAGAGTGATCTTTTGTTCTTTGAGAGACTGATGAAAGTTGACCTTGTTTTCCCGCAGCCCTGCATACCTTATATTCTACCTCAGCTTCACACAACAGCAGGAATTTGTGAGCAAACCACATGTGACAGTATGACCTTCCATTCCTACTTTGTAGCTCAAAGCAATCTGCTCTCTGTGTGTATGTGGCAGCACTCTGGAGCAGCCGCTGTGTAAAACAAGCTGTTAACTAGCCTGATCTTTACACAACAACTTTTCTCAGACGTCAACAGGTTACATTTCTCATTCTGCTATGCTCTTTTCTGCTGACTGCCATGCTCCACATCCTCACCTCTCGGCTGCTGGCTTTTACAAAGCAGTCACATGTTGGAGCTCTGACATTTACAGACCTGAAGCCTCCTAAGACCCTAAATATGTTTTCTGCTGCTGCTCCTGCACTGCATGTGTACACATGTGTCAGGAAACATTGGGGGGGGGGTGCTGTGTGGTGACAACATTCTTGATTTCCTACCTCTCTGCCTTGTCCTCTCAAAGTCTACTGATACTCCAGAGGACCGGAACAACCCAGTGTTGCTGTACAACAAGATGGAACTGGGCGATCTAAATGCCAACTTCACCCTTGAGTTTGACTCACAGGTTAAGACAAACTCTTTCTCTGTCAGAATTTCTTCTTTCTTATCCCCTTCCCTCCTCTTCATGATAACTTCTTCTCATCTTTCTTTGTGCTTTTGGACTCATCCTGAAGGTATTTGACTGGAGTTACTTCACAGCTAAGCTAATGGATACGGTCAGCATCAGCGTTCCCGATACCGAGAAGGTCATAAACTACTCACCAAACTATTACAGAAGACTCAACCTTGTCTTGGCCAGATATACCAAGAGGTGCGTGTGTGTTTTTGCAAGAGCTCTTGGTTGTGTTTGTATATGATGTGAAGGTGTTAGTGGGGTGAACACAAAGCATGCAATGTTAACAGCAGTTACTATAGCCCGACGTGACTAAGGGACTTTTTTCCCTCTCCTCACAGGGATCTTCAGAACTACATGGTGTGGCGTTTCGCTATGAACATGGTGGTGGGCCTGAGCAGAGCTTACAGGGACACAAGGAAAGCCTTCCGCAAGGTACACTATCAGGATGTGTGCATTGTTTTTACAACCCACTTCAAATGAAACACAACCCAGTTCTGAATGGGTTTCAGTCGAAGCTTTGGTCATATGGAAGGAACAGTGTTAGTTGGGAAAAAAATAGATGCTCGCAAACACATTTTCACATAAACATTTAGAGTAACAGCAAGAGGATTCAAATCCAAGTTCAGATGGGTTCTTCATGTGTGGAGTTTGCATGATCTCCCCGTGTCTACGTGGGTTTTCTCTGGGTTCTATGTCTTCCTCCCACAGTTTGAAAGCATGTCGATTGGGGTTAGTTTAATTGGAGACTCTAAATTGACTGTAGACATGAATATACAATTTGACAAGCACATTTCCTCAGTTGCCAGGTGTGGCTTTTTTCAACTTAGACTCATAACCAAAGTAAAAGCCTATCTCCCACAAAAGGATCTCGAGAGGGTGATCCATGCCTTCATAACCTCTCGACTCGACTACTGCAATTCTCTGTATGTGGGCTTAGATCAATCATCTATTAAACGCCTGCAGCTCGTTCCAAAATGCTGCTGCTCGCCTCCTGACTAGAAAGAAAAACAGAGACCATATCACACCTGTGTGGTGCTCCCTCCACCAACTTCCTGTTCGTCACAGGATCGATTTTAAAGATTTTAATGTGTTCTTTTAAATCTCTTAACGGACTGGCACCGCCTTACTTAGCCGAACTTCTCCATACACACGCTCCAGTTAGGGAGCTGAGATCAGCCACTCAGCTCCTCCTGGACCTACCTAAAACAAGGCTCATAACCAAAGGTGATCGCACCTTCACAGTAGCCGCCCCAAACTTATGGAACAACAACCACGCCACATTAGATCTGCCACCTCTCTTTCACAATTCAAATCACTACTATAAACACATCTGTTCTCCTCAAGTTGAGTAGGTTTTTATCCCAGCTGATTTTATTTTATTTTATTTATAAAGTAATATATATCTTATATTTTACTTTTTAAATTCATCTTCTTTTTATCTTATTCTATTTTTTACTCCGATGTATTGCGTGTTACGGTCCTCTTATTGTACCTTGTACTTGTGAAGCACTTTGGTCAACCCAGTTGTTCTAAATGTGCTATATAAATAAAATTGACATGGACATGGACATTGAATGATTATCTTTGTATGCTGGTGACCTGTCCAGGATGTACCCCGCCTCTCCCACAATGTCAGCTCAATGCAAAAGTTGGCACGTCAACATTTGCTAACTAGCCAACTAACCCTGCCTTGGCTAATTCCAAATCTAACCATGCTATATAGTAATGTTCATTGCTGGCAGACAATCAATAACCTCCTTGGTGGAGGTAACAACTTCATCAGATTGGCAATGTATGAAATGTCAAGGTCAAGGTCACTAAAATGAGTAGGATTCACCCTCTGGGGACTATGAATGTCTGCAATAAAGTCCATGGCAATCCATCCAATAGTTTGGATATTTCAATTTGGACTATTGTAGTGGACCAACCAAACAACCGTGCCATTGCTGCAGTTTATTGATGCTTACTGAGGAATCAGTCAGGCTCCAACAAACTCTACACACTGCACTCAGCTCCATTCATATTCTTCTTCCGTATTGTAAATGCTCTCTAATCTAATCATTTCCCCTGTTTCTTATATTCCTAAATGTAATGGTAATGCATAATGAAGGTGCAAATATAAAGCATTGCCATGAGCCTCTTTAAACAATGTGCTGAGCGGTCCATCCTGCATCTCTAATTGATCTGTGCCTCGTTACTTTCCCTGCAGGCTCTGTCTGGCACGACATCAGAGGCAGCGGTGTGGCGACAGTGTGCACTTTACGTCAACAACAACATGGACAACGCTGTTGGACGACTTTATGTGCAGGAGGCTTTCTCAGAAAAGAGCAAAGAACTGGTCAGTAGAGGTCGGATCCTTCTTTAAAATATCAACTATAATGAGATTCAATGTGTTGAAAGCGGTTAACACTATCACCAAGGGGAATTCATTCATTGGGTTGAATACATTCTGTATAAAACATAAAACGTGTCTTATTATATGTGTTTATTGAAAGTGGAGCTGGTACTGACAATGAATCTGCAGGGAACGAGTTTTCACACAATCAGTGTAACAGTGTTTATGTATTCAGTTATTCAGACATACAGTTTGAGAACATGTGTTTCAGGCACATCCCACTGGGTGTTATTTATGTCTCTTACTCACCTATGTTTTTATCACCTTTGTGTTTTGTGTCTCCACCAAAGTAATGTATTTATTTTTGCTTGCACCCATTGAAAGCAGCTGAACAAGGTATCTTTGTTGTCATGCCCACACCACCCACACTGTAAATCTCAGTGCTTTGTTTGTGTGTGTGTGAGTGTGTGTGTGTGTGTGTGT